TCGGAATTACAGAGTATTTCTTCACTGAAAGAAGAGCAAAACACTGCTCTGGAGGCTTTTCTCAGAGGAAAAGTTGTTTTTGCTCTTCTCCCGACTGGTTTCGGCAAGAGTAGCCTGGCTTGGGGCTGTGTTTTCGTTGTCGCTCTGTTAGTACGTCATATGCTTGGTTGATCTGATTAGTTTATTTGGCCTGTCTATCACCAACATAGGCCAATCAGCCAACCAGTATTTTCGCCCCTTCCCAAAATCACTTCAACGGAAGGTTTCCAGATGGATATGTGGAGCAAATCCATCTGGCGGAGTCAGTTTACCAAGGACCAGCCAAGGGCCCATCAAGGAAAGTGGGGAAATTTTCAATGGCTACTATTGTAATAAAGCATGATCAGTAAGCGTCAGAATGCACAGGATTCAGTTTGAGCAGAACAAAATTAAAATGTGAACGATTGGAGTGATTTGTTCTAATCATAAATCCATTGTCTTTCTAAACACTTGCTCCTATAATTCAATTTAGATTAGGGGAAACTGATCTTAATTTCTTCTTTCTCTCACCTTGTAAAAAACAGCAAAAACAGCATAAGTTTCCCGAGCCTAATGCTTAACTATGGAAAGAATAACACCTCAACTGCTCTCACACCCCACTGCAAGTCCTTTGTGGGCCATCAGAACAGTCAAAGCAAATACATTTCTGGGCTTGTTCTTTTAGTTTGGCAGAGGTAAAACTACAAACCTTCTTCTGTGATAGTTTAGGTAAAATTTTATAACTCTGCAATTCTAAACTAGGTCTGACCCAAATAAACATGCATCATGATCACATTATTACGTTTTGGGCTTATATAGATGGTATATTATGATTATTATTTTTCAATTTCAGCACATTGCGGTTCAATGGATTTTGCACATGCAAACATAGCTATTGAAGGACTCCTTACCCCAAGCAGAACTTTATAAAAAAAAAAAAAAAGAAAGGTGTTTCAAAAAAGGTTGAGGCAGACGTTCTCTCGATTAATGCACAGCAGTCTTTTCAGATATATTTTTTTTTACTGAAGCATCCATCTCACAGCTCAAAAGTACTTTATATTGGTCCACATCTCTTAATGTTAGAGTAGATATCGTTTAGAGGCAACCTTATATCCCCTAAGCATTATCCTTATTGGCTGTGATTAGCTTACAGCAAATAAAATAAAAACCTGTTTTTTTCAGTGAGGGCTGTTGATGCTGAATGTGGGATCAAAGAGGTTGAAATTTACAAAAATTAAAACCCCCAACATAGCCTTTAACGCTGCCGTTTGGAGTAATATTTTGGCTCACACAGCTGCAGTTAGAAGTCTCTGATATTTTAGGCATATTTGAATTCGCTTTGATTTGCTCTCAGCGGATAAATCAAGGGAGGGGGCGTTAATGATTCATAAGTGGTATTGTAAATATATAATACGCTGGTTAAATAGATTTAAGGTCGCTCTGTGTATCAAAGATTAAACACAATTGTGCAGTTTTTTCAAAGCTATTTAATCTACAGCCTCTTCAGGTAATATTTGTGCTAATGATGACAGCATTGATAGAGAGCTATCTGAGAGTCAGGTGATAGATTTATATTCAATTTTCTTTAACCATATTTTGCATCTGTTTTGAGCTTCTATTCTAATATAGTTATATATATATTTTTTTCTTTTTACATTATTGACATAGCTATTCTTACTGTACATAATGTGTTCCTTGCACATGTCCAGCCTTTTAAGCAATGCGCTTAAATGGGATTGAGGGTTGAGCTTAGGGATGGATATTCTAGATTCTAGAAGTTTGAATGATTGTTTTGATTTATCAATTAAACTGTCAGTTTTGATGTAGGTTTGGTATCTCCAGCTTGCTGAAAAATAAAACTCTTTCTAAATTACATTCAGATAACCTAAACTGTCAACATTATAGGAAAGGGATTTGGTTTGGATGTTGAAGCATGACGTGTTCAAGAAGGAAACTCCAAGAATGGCATCATAGTTGGAAAGACCTATTTAAATGTCTGGACCAAAGAAAGATTTACATCCACGTGGGCTATGATGGTGTACCCTTTAAAGAACACATCTTAAGAAATTGACGTAGTTAAACTTTACTTGAATTTTCTCTGGCCAACGGACATGCACTAATTTATTCAGTTTTTTTGGTGGTGTTTTAAAAAGGGGGAGTAGTTATCCTATCCAACCTAAACAACAATTAACCTAAAATTTTACACTGGTACAAGAAAGGTTATTATTTTGTATTAACCATGCTATCATACTGAGCCTTTTGAACATTGTTAACCACGCCAGAGTACAAAGCAAAATACATTAAAGACACTGAGATGGACTGCAGAACCTCCTGTAAACCTGGCATTGGTACAACTGCCAGCCTCGGGATGGTTCATCAGGGTCCTGCTGTGTTAATGTCTACTGACTCCATTATACCAGAAACTGAGAGACTATATGTGATGTAAGAGCAGCACAACTGAGTGGAAGAAGCTGAGAAAATATAGAAGGAGTGCAAATTTGAAGATCGAAGGATTAAAAGATTGTTTGAGGGTACATAAGGTAGTAAAGAGGAACAGCACTACCATTTTGTTTAAACATAAAAGAACCAGAAACTCCATGAGACAGACTTTCTTCTTCATGCATTCATTTCTTGTAGATGCAATGTAGATGTGCAATACTTTCCTTGAAACAATCATTTGAAACTTCATGATGTTTTCTTTTTTCTAAAAATGTCAAGCAATAATTTTCTTCCTTGAACCAATCCCTGGGCTGGAGCAGCAGTGTGTTTGCAACCAAAACAAACTGAAGGAGTTAAGGCAAACTTTTCCAATTCTGAACATAACAAATCATTCTTTTTTTGTAGTTGTGTGTTTGTAGGTTTTTGGTTTTGTGCTTGGGTCAGGTTGTGTTTTCTTTTTCTCCTTTAATAAAATCAATCATTTCGAAAATGCAGATCATAATTTTTCTAACGTTTCTCTGAGCTGAAAAATACAAGTGTGCAGAAAAAAAAACAAAAGAAGGAAAATCTATTGTGGCAGTTAACAACACTGTCTATGTGTGTACTTGATATAGTCCATATATAGTATATACAGTATATATAGTCTGTTACACAGTTCTGAGCCGATTAGTGGAATCTGTTATCTTAAATTGAGCACATCACGAAAGTAAGAACCCTTTAATTTTGCAGTGTATTCTGTGTTTGCGATCCTTCAAACAAGCACTAAGCAGAGACAAACACTTTAGGTTTGAGAGGACAAAAGGAGCTCCTTTTAGGTTAAACTTGATTTCTTGGACATGCACTTAGAATATTACAGGACAATATGCCAACAGGCTCCTTCACTGTTTGGGAGTCTGGTGATGTAAGGAGTTCTTATTATGCTTGAAGTGTAATACTGTAGCAGTGAGACCGTGATGCGTTGATTAGTCCCTTGTTCTAAATTAACTAAATCCCTCGGAACATGGCAGGTTCAATTGTAAGCGGAGAAAAGCAGCTTCATTCAGTAGCACATCCAGTGCAATGAAGGTGCACATTTACATATCAAAGACTGCAGAGCCACGTCTAGAATTTCAAGTGTGTTCTGTTGTGATGTTGAAGAGCAGCAGCACTGACATGAGAGGAACTCGCTCTGTCCTCCTTACAAATTCCACAGTTGATACACTTCCTTGTTATGTCCACAGTAACACATAGAAGGTGCAGAGCAGACCAAGTTGTAATGAGATACTTTAAATGCTCAATTGAACACGCAAAGATGCACACATTTTGTTTAAAAGATAACAAACGTGTGGATGGGTGTTAACAGATATTCAAATGGTGCTGGTTTGTGAGTGCGTAAGTAGGTCATCTGCAGGGAATGGGGAAAACATGTTAAATCATTTCTGCAGTCTCTGAACAAATGGCCTTTTTTTCCCCTTTCCCTTCTAGGGAAATTTCCCCCATGGCCCTGCAGATCTGATTTGATTCCCTCTAAGTCAAGCGTTGACACATTAGCACGTCTTCTCATTAACTTAGACTTTGCCATTACCCCCTCCTGGTCCCATTTTATTCCAATTTAACAGCAGACATACTTGGACCATCAAGTATCTCAGACACATTTAAAAGCTAGCGAAGCTCTTAACATTTGTACTTTGCAGCTAAAGTGGAATATGTAAATCCCTCCGTAGAATGTAATTGAAAGTTGATTATCTGACTGTCATTGAACTGCATTGTCTCCATCTTTAGACAATTTTATATTTTATATCTTGATAAAATGCATCATTCAAAAATCCTAACTTTTGAAATGCAAAGGCTTATGTGATTAAAAAGTCCAAAATTGATGTAGCTCAGACAAATAATCCAAATTAGCCACATTTTTACACCAAAGCGTTTAAAATCTCCAAGATAGAAAAAAGATCTAAAAATAATTTACTTTTCCCAACTAACCACAGGACATCTTCCCAGTGGGCACCGTTACATCAATTTGATGTTAAAGCTTGGTCAAGATTTTGACTTCCATGATAATTATTCTACAGAAGCTTATAGTTGTAAAAAGGTCCAACCAATAAATCAATCTAGCATCCAAATACTGCCTCATATTGCTAATAAACATATTTGAACTTAAAACAATATCTCTGCACAAAAACCTATCATCAAATTGACGTTGATTTGATGTCTGGGAATAAGGTATTGAATTGATGTCATATTGATGTCACAAAGCATCTTGGGATAAGGGACTTTGCAACAAGCATGAAGCTATTAAAATCTTGGTTGTGTTATTCATGCTGAAAATACATGCACCATTTGACCACCAAATGTGGGGAAATGCATTATATTTCAAAAAACATTTTTGAATTACCAATTATTTTATTTATTTTTTTATAATTATTTTTTTTTTTTTTTTTGCAACCCGGACAAGCGCAGGTTGCAAATTGTCGGAAACTGACGAATTACCAATTATTTTCAAAGACCAATTCCTCACGGTTTATATACTTTGAAAAATAAACGTTTAAACGTAAGTGAAGTGTGATTGGACGATCGTTGTCACGTGAGTGTTGGACTTACGGTTGCCAGCCTACATTCAGAATCACTCCCCGCCAGAAGCTCCACCTTTTGCTGCAATTTTTGGTTTGAACGCGCTCTTCTCGGCTAAAAAAAGGTTTTTGTTGGTAAGTACATTATAGTTATATTTTTGTCATTATTAGTGTACACTGACTAATCTTTCAAAACTTTCATGCTAGCAGTTAGCCAGCTAATGCATATGCATATTGTTATGTTGTTTTGATGCGGGACTAACAACAGCATGACATCCAAGCAGCATGCTTTTTTTCAATTTGAGCAAACTGCCCAATTAACCATTTTTGCTGCTTTTATCTAAAAAAGTGTAAATGTAAGATAAACGTTCTACTCAATTGTACTTTCTTAATCTTCCAAGGCACAAAGCAACAACAACAACAAAAAAAAAATATATATATATCCATCCATTTTCTTACACCCTTATCCCTCAGTGGGGTCGGGAGGTGCTGGTGCCCATCTCCAGCCATGTTCCGGGTGAGTGTGTATGTATGTATGTATGTATGTATGTATGTATGTATGTATGTATGTATGTATGTATGTATGTATATATATATATATATATAGAGAGAGAGAGATAGATTTTAATCTTCAAAGAAACAATTCAGGACACACCCCTCACATTTATGTGGAGGCTGTGTGCAGTGTCATATGTTCATAGATCTCTGTGCATGTGTGTATTTATGTTTTCTTTGCACCCTCTCCCACACCAACACACAAATGGGAGTCACAAGAGGAACTGACAAGTCCTTCCTTAGGTGGGGCGCTCCTCCATGTTGATCTTATACTCAAAACTTGTACAATTTGCTTTTTTTTTATCTTTTCAGATTCCATTCAGCTATCACAGCCTGGAGCCAGTGAAGCTGACATTGTTTCCCGGATGGCGGCCTATTTGCGTTCAGCGCCAGACAGGAAAGGTGGTGGTGGTCGCAAGACTGCTGCAGCTCAAAATGTTTAATGACTGCAAAATCTATAAAGTATTTCACTTTAGTTCATTGCTGTTGTTTGTGTACAATTTATAGTTCACATATTTGTAGTCAGTTGCCTGTTAATCTACACAGCTGTTGAAATCAATGTTTTGGAATGTTTTAGAATAAAAATGTTTTGTTATACTTGTATGTTTGATCTTTGAGAGAATGCCATTTTTTGTAGAAAAATAGCAATTGTAGAACATCAACTTAGTTTAGATGATCCAAAAATGATTAATATTAGAACTATTGACAATATACTTTACAGAATTGCTATTTTAAAGGCCATGCATGAAACACTGCAGAACTGCAATACAGCTGTCTTGTATTTCAAACACAATTGGGTTTGTTTAGGCCATTTCCTTCTCAAAGGAACTTTTTTTTAAAATCCTAATGAAGGTCCCGTGAGACCGCACATTTATCTAAGTAAATGAAGCCAAGTCTGTTTGCAATACAGTGGCGTTGGATGGAGGAGTTTGCCCTGTAATCGAAGGGTTGACGGTTCAAGCCCCGACTCCGACTTTCATTGTCGTTGTGTCCTTGGGCAAGACACTTCACCTGCATTGTCTACTGATGGTGGTCAGAGGGCCCGGTGGCGCCAGTGTACGGCAGCCTCGCTTCTGTCAGTGAGCCCCAGGGCAGCTGTGGCTACAATGTAGCTTGCCACCATCAGTGTGTGAGTGTGTGTGTGAATGGGTGAATGAATGTAGTGTAAAGCGCTTTGGTCAAGTCTCCTAACTTGAATAAAGGTGCTATATAAGTACATGCCATTTACCAATACAAAACGTTGCAGAATCTTTCCGTCTGTGCATATTTTTAAATGTTTTTATTTGCAAATGTTTGACATAAAAACAATGTCAAAATAACATCAATATCATTATTTGAGTGAAATTTTACAAAAGCTTGACATTGAAATAATGTCAAAATGACATAAATAAAATCATTATTTGACATACATCAAATTGATGTCAAAGGACTGATGTCAATTTGATTTACGTTTTTTGACCAAATTTTGATAACAATTTGATATCGGTGTTTGATGTCAAATTGATGTTTAATTGACATCTTTTGCCCACTGGGTTAGCTGCAGTGTTCACAGACTAGGAAAACCAAAGCAAATACAAAATGTGCTTTTATCAGAATGATTTCCTCTTATAAATGCAAAAATCTTTTCATTTTACTTCCCCTTGTTAAACCACAACAAAACCCTCTCATTTATGAACATGTCTTTATTAGTTTAATTTGTCATGCTGAGGTCTTACCACCAATAGACCTGCAGAATACAGAATCTCTCCCATAGTAACTGTCTTACAACATGAAGTTGTCATGTTTTGGTTTACAGACTCTGAATAAGAGCAATCACGGAGGCAAGGATCAGTTAAGGGTTTTATTGAAGCTTTCAGGGTGTAGAGTGAAGTCCGGCAGGCAGGGTTGCCAGAATACTGCTGGAAGAGGTTTGGTGACAGGTGGGCAACAGTTCGGTGCTGGTTGAAGAGTGAGGGATGTATGAGACTCACAGAGAGGGCGGCTTGGCGTCTGTCTTGGGAGGATGGTGACCAGTGGTCCTGCCGAATGGTGCAGGTCCGGTGGGTGAGATCAGATGGTGGTGTCTAAGGGTGGACAGGCCGGTGAGCTCAGGCAGGAGGGCTTTTATGGTTCTGAGGCTCGAAGCCTCACTGGTTCTAAGAGGCTGACTGAAAATGCCCCTAACAGGAGTCCAAAGCGAAGAGGTCTCTGGAGTGGTTTCAAGGCTTGGGATCCTGGGTTCTACAAGAAGGAGCAAAGAGTACAGGGTTAGGTTCAGGCAAAGCTAAGAAGCTAGGTTTGGTTCAGGATCAGTTGTACCAACGCTGGAGCATTAACGAACTGACGCCCTACCTGGTTCCAGCTCCTTAAAAAAGGTGGGAATCAGCTTGATGAAGAGCACCTGTCCGTCCAGCCCTGCAGAGAGAAAAAAAAAGGACTGGGAGTATGACAGAAGTCAGCTTGAAATGAACACATAATTTGGTAATATAAAACAGGGATACAAACAGATAAGTAACAAAGTCATAGATATCCATCAGTCTGGAAAAGGAAACCAAGAAAATAATGATTTATGACTCCAATAAACCACATATTGAGAGAACAGGCAGCGGTGGTGATCTTTTCCAGAACTGGCCAGACTATCCAAATTACACCGGGAGGGCACTGACACAACTACTGTAAATGTTCAAAATAGAATCCTAAACCACATGATTTGAAAACAAATCACTTGCCTTTGTTAAGGTAAGTATAAAAAACACTTGACAAAATAGCCTCTAATAGATCCTCTTTTTTTAACCAATCCCTGTCCTGGACCATCAGTGTCTTTGCATTCAAAACACAATGTTTTTATTGTGTAACTGTAATCAAGGAGGTTTTATTGCATTAATACTATTACAAATACACATCCTTTTGACCTTATGTCTTAACAACTAACACAGCATTTTTCCTAAGTATCACACCATGATGACAAACATGGCAGTGGTAGCGTGATGGCTTGTTTTTCTGCCTACAGTAAGTACTTGGAAAGATTCTGCATTAAACCTGAAAATCCAGAAGGATAAAGCCAGCTATTTATTTGTGTTCTGACAATAATGTAAGCTAGCCACACAAGACAAGGATCTAAAGCTACAGACCTTCCTCTGAACAGCAAAAAAAAAACATAGGTTTTTCAGTGGCCTAGTCAAATCCTGGAATCCCATTTAACTAATATGCTGGGACATGACTTTACCTAGGCTGTTGATGCTTAAAGGGATAGTTCGGGATTTTTGACATGAATCTGTATGGCATCTCCATCACCAGTGTCATGCAATCACACTGACTTACCCCTGGCAGCATCCTGTTTGTTCCGCCCAGCTAGGAGCTAGGCGGAACGAGACATGCATCTGGCTGTTGTCAGGCCCTAGCTGTCAGGTCATGGTGTCGCGCGCACTGATACGAACAGAGAGAAAATAGGACCAAGTGATAACGACGTGTGACTTTTTCCACTACAACGTTTTTGGGATGCAGAAATATCACTCTTTTGAACACATAATGTTTTGGGAAGAGAAACGTTTTATTTCGCTGGGTCTAGCAAACCTGCCGGACTACTTTCGGCTTGACCAAAACTGGACGATAACTCTGCTCACAGGACGCTGCCAGGGGTAAGTCAGTGTGATTGCATGACACTGGTGATGGGGATGCCATACAGACCCGAACTATCCCTTTAAAGCAATACTACGTAATAGTCTTACCTTAATAAATCCTCTTCCTAGTCCCTGTGATGGTATTCCTAATATTTATTAGAAATACCCCTGAAAACCAAAATTGCAGCTTTCTGTACCTCTGACCCCGGTGGCATCTCGCTGCTCTGTTCTAATTCTCGCAGTATAACAGCTGTTAGAGGCCCAATCTAAGGCTATTGCTTCAATAAGTACAAACGTCTCTGCACTACCCCTTGGTGATTATAAAATGTTGTTTTTATTGTTTTCTTGTGGTGTTTTTTTTTTGTTTTTGGAAGGTTATAAAATGTTGAAGCCAGCAAAAAGGGCAAATAAAACCCTCAGAAGGAGAAAAGGGAGAGATACAATAGCTGATCGGCTCAGGACTCCAACAAGGATGCATTCCATTCTCCTCAAACCAAAAAAAAAAAAAAGATAAAAAAATGAAAGTCGATGCAGACCTTGCAATTCTGATAATGGATTTGTAAGCACCATATCTACTAATATCTGTAACTGTACAGTTGTGTTGTGCAGCTTTGAAACATAGAGAGGGTAAATTACATAATTAGAGCAATTAGAAAGCGATTCACTCGAGAGGTTTATATAATTTATAATTTATATAATTTTTTTTTCCCAGCAAAATGATTGCTATACACTAGTTTACATTAGATGAAATAAAATACAACCCACCTCTTCATACATTTAGTTATAGCGGTGAGGTGCTAAGCAGCTCACAAAAAGCCGGCAGTCTTTACAACAGAGCTATTTTCAAAAGCTCCTGTAGGGGGTGCAATACTTAAAAAATCACTCAGTGCTGGTGTAATTCTACTGGATTATTTTGTAAAAAGAAGAAGGCTCATTGCAATAACTTGATGCAAGTTTTAGCTGCAAAACGTGAAACAAATTGCTAAAAACTGGTGATTAAAATTTGTGGATGATTATTTCCCAAATAAGGCTAAGGTAGTTTGGATGTTATCTAACATATTGGTACGATAAGAAAGCAAAAGCAGCAGGAATCTATAAGGGAACAATACTTTTTCACAGCACTGAATACACAGAGGATTTTGTCAGCAGGACATTCAGTGCACCAGCTGTGTTTGTTTGGATATTTGAACACTATAAAACACAATAACATTGTGTTCAGGAAACTGGGGTTTATATGAAAGTCAGAAGGTTATATAGGGAGATGTTTTTTGGTCTTCATCCTAAACGAGGATATGCACCAGAGTTTCTCCTCCTCCCTGTTGAGAAACAGGCTAATGAGGCCCGGCGTTCACCTCCTGCTGTCCACCCTCCCTTGCATCCAACCTTCCTCCACCTGTACACAGATTTCAGCTGAGCTATGCAGGATAGTCCCCCGGCACTGGTTTCAGCTCAGCATGATGTATGTATCACATACTTGTAATACACAAAGCAATAGTGTTTAGTGTTATACAAGTCGATCTTTGTCTGCTACACTCTTTACCATCTTTTCCAATAGGCTCAGTGTAAACTTCACATAATGAAAAGATTTGATTACATACAGTATCCACCTTTATTGCAAGCGAATCAATCCTCAAGAATGTTAGTTCCTTGTATAAGCGGACTACCAGCAAATCCAATAAACTAGCTCAATATAGTGAAATAATAACTGCTAAACGCTCTTTTCCCTATTTTGTTGGTTTGACTTGATTGCCACGATTGGCATTTCCCCGCACCATGCACTAAATTTAGTTTGTACAAAACACCATTGGTTTGTCTCCTGTCTATGTTGTCACTTCTTGGGAGATATTGAAAGGGACAGAATGGATTTCCTCCTAAAGGATC